GACGCATCTTGTCGGCTCAGCCAACCACTGAGCGGGCGACGGAAGACGTGAAAGTCGCGGATGACTATACGTCGAGTGTAGTCGTGAGTCGTGAGTGCTCTTGTCCGACACCCTCGTGAGTGCCTCGTCAGTGCTTCTCTACGCCACCACCACCACCACCCGCCGCATGACAAATACCACCCATCCCTTACACGCTTTACACATCCACTACACCAGTCCACCCCACTCCCTCCCCCACACAAACAAGATGGCGTCTTCTTGGAGGGACAGTCTGCCTCTAGAGACGATGGCCAAGGAGAGGCAGAATCCTCCCTTTAACGTTCGAGCCATGTCCATCGCTCAGCACGGCACGGAAAAGGAGCTGCTGTTAAAGGAAAAGTTTATGCTGGAAATCTCTAGAGATCCCATCTTTTACATGGGCGATGTGCACGACTTGACCAAGGATCAGTTGCGCGAGCGCACCATGGCCAAGATTGGAAGTCTGGTGCACTGCGTTCAAAACGAGAGCATCGAGCATGTGAGTGGGGCGTGCGTGTGCGTGTGTGGGTGCGGGTGCGGGTGCGGGTGCGGGTGTGCATGCGCTTGCGCTTGAGCTTACTCTCCCCCGCCTCGTCGCAGTTCACCAAGCGCATGGAATTGATCGGTTTGTGTGAGTAACGGTGCGCGCATCTCCTCGTCTGGCTTCGCCCTGACATCCGCCACACACGCGCACGCCCCCCCTCCTCCCGCAGTCGACCCCGGTTTCTGGACTCGTTTCGGCGTGCACTATGGTCTTTTCCTCGGCGCTATCCGATCCGGCGCCACTGCAAACCAATTCTCCTACTGGATGGAAAAGGGCGTCGTCTCTTGCAAGGGCATGTACGGCTGCTTCGGCATGACCGAGCTCGCCCACGGTTCCAACGTCGCTGGTCTCGAGACAACTGGTGAGTGGTGGAGGTGACGGAGGTATATGGGCGCGCGCCGGTACTGACGCGCCCCCGTGCTCTCCCGCGCCGCCTGCCGCGCCCAGCCACGTTCGACGAACAGACGGACGAATTCGTCGTTCATACGCCCAACATTGGTGCCACCAAGTGGTGGATCGGAGGTGCTGCTCAGACCGCCACGCACTGCTCCGTCTTTGCGCAGATGATCATTCGCGGCAAGAAACACGGTGTCAAGACATTCATCGTGCCTCTTCGTGAACCGCAGTCCTTTCAACTCTTGCCAGGCATCAACATTGGTGATATTGGCAAAAAGATGGGCCGCGATGGCATCGACAATGGCTACATTCAATTCACAAACGTGCGCATTCCCCGCGCATACATGCTCATGAAGCACACGCAAGTCACGCGAGAGGGACAAGTGTTCGAACCGCCCATGCAGCAGCTCAGCTACGTCGCCCTGCTTCAAGGTCGCGTGTCGATGGTGGTGGACACTGCCAACACTGCCAAAAAGGCCCTCACGATTGCGGTGCGGTATGCTGCCGTCAGGAGACAGTTCAAGAGCTCGGCAGAGCAGGAGCACGAGACGCCCATTCTCGATTACCTGCTCCACCAACGACGTCTCATGCCCCTCGTCGCGCAGGCCACCGCTTTCGCCTTTACCGCGCTCAATTTGACCAAGATGTTCGAAGAGACGAGCGCATCTTTGGAAGCCATGGAGCCTGGACCTGAAATGGATCGCGCGCTGGAGCAGCTAAAGAGCACGCACATTTCATCCAGCGGTCTCAAGGCGCACTGCGTCTGGCAGACGCTCGAAGCGATCAAGCAAGCGCGTCTTGCTTGTGGCGGACACGGCTACTCTTCCTACAATGGTTTCGCATCCATGGAGGCAGACTTTGCTGTGCACGCGACGTGGGAAGGAGACAATCACATTCTCGCTCTGCAATCCGGCAGGTCCCTCGTCCAGTCGTACCTCGAAGCGCTAGAAGGCAAGAAATCGGGCGATGCGACGGATTACCTCAACGATCTCGACAATGTCCTCAAGCGCAAGTGCAAGGGAGGCGATGCGCTGCTCGACTTGAAGCACATTGAAGAGGGTTGGGGCACGGTGACTGCTCACGCCGTAAAAAAGGCCGGCGAGGATTACCAGTCGCACATCAAGGCTGGCAAGTCCAAGGAGCTGGCATTCGAAGAGGCCAGCCAATCGCGCTTCGTCGCTGCCATGGTGCACGTCAGCGGCTTCATTTTCCGTCAATTCAAGCAGGCCGTCGAGCGCATGGAGGACAAGGGCGATGGCGTCAAGGAGCACTTGACCCGTCTGGCGGTGTTTTACGGCTTGTGGCGCATGGAGGAGCAGGGAAGCTTCTTTTTGCGATCCGGCTGGCTCAGCCCTGCCGATTTCGATGCTGTGCAAGCCAAGGTGACGGACTTTTGCGCGGATACCAGAAAGTACGTCATTCCACTGGTGGACAGCTGGTCCATCAGCGACCACGTCCTCAACTCTCCCATTGGCAGGTGGGATGGCGACATTTACAGGGCTTACTTTGGACGCGTCAGACAGCAGAATCCTCAGCTCAAGGCTCATCCCTACTTTGAAAAGCTCATCAAACCCTTCTTGTTCAGACCCGACATTGAGCTGGAGGATTACGACGAGGCGATTGGTATTGACGATGAGATTACGGAAATTCAAGAGGAGCGCGAAGAGGCTGCTGCCGAGGCCAAGGAGGCTGCCGAGGCTGCCAAGAATGAAAAGTAGGGCGGTGGGGCGGGCGCCGTGCGTATCTCTCTCTCTCTCTCCCTGCGTACTGTTTGATCCCCGAGCGAGCTACGAGTGTGTCGAGCGAGCTGAGCTAGTGTCGCTTGCTCGACCTTTATTAATATCACGAGTGTCGATGTGCAGCGTGTGTGCGAGTGAGTGAGTGAGTAAGCGAGCGAGCGAGCGGGATTGCGTGCGCCCCTCCGTGCGTGCGCGCGCTTCTCGGCCGGCCCCGAGAGCGGCCCCGCGAGCGCGCAACCCGCGCGCAACCGCACCCGCCGCGCGTTCTACACTGGCCTACTCTCTCGTTCCTATTCCCACATCCACCGCGCGCCGACGCCCCCCTCCCTGCCTGCCTGACCATGGAGCGCATCACGGAGTCCGCGATCAAACGGCCGCCGTCGCCATCGCGCATCGCATTTCAACACGCATACATTGCCTCACCGCAACAAGTCGACTCCAACCTGTTGATACTGCTGCACGGTCTTGGAGATACGCAAGCGTCGTATGTCGATTTGGGAAAACAGCTGCAGCGAGCGCTGCCACAGTGCGCCGTCTTGGCCCTAAGAGGTGCGAGGAGCGTACCGCTGCTGGGCGGAGGCATGTGGTGGGATGCTTGGGATCCGCTTGGAGAGAGTGAGTAATCGGCGGGTGAGGGTGCGGGTGCGGGTGCTTGCGTGCGTGCATGCGAAGCTGACTCTTGACTCTTGTTTCTGCGCCCCCCGCCCCCCGCAGTGCTTCCCGCATCCGCTCAAAATCCTGCCGCATTCATCGACGATTTCAAAAAGCTTTTGGATGAGTTGACGATGCGCGGATGGCAGAGCGAGCATGTGCACTTGCTCGGATTTGGACAGGGAGCTACAGCTGCGCTAGAGGGCACGCACGCTTGGTGCAGAGCCAACAAGCGCTTGCTGGGAAGCGTCGTCGCAGTGTGTGGTGGCATGTTGAGCGTGAGTGGCGGGGCGGGGCGAGAGCGGGGCAAAAGTGTGCTGCTGCCCTGCAAGCATCACTGTAGTGACACACACGTCTGCCCACCACCCACCCTCACCAGTTTCCTAATCCTCCACCGCTCGACGTGCCAGTCCTGCACATTCATCCGCCCGCCGCAGCACATCAACGAGCTCAGACGACGCTGCAACGCGCATTTCAGCCACTCGTAGTCATGCCTCTCTCAGACGACGCACAGGACAGGATGCCTCGAGGCAAAGAGTGGGAGATGGTGGTTCGATTTTGGAGCGAAAAGGGCAGGTGGAGGAATAGAGCAGCCTGGGAACTCAAAGGCGAGGTCTACGCGGTCCCGGGGGGGCAGTCGTGACTAGGCCTGCGCACACCCTGCGCACACTCATAGCGGATGCCCACGCCTACTGGGTTGGGAACTCTTGCAGCAGCTTGGCAAGCTCTTGACGCGCAACGGAAGCTGCTGAAGGGTTGGCAGAGATGGCGGCGGTGAGTGCTGATGCGCGGAGGGGGGGGGAGGGGAACTTTCCAGGTCAGCGGGGGTCGCGGGGCCGCGGGGTCGCGCAGGTTAAGCACTCTTTAGGCTCACATTGTTTGGCCTCTGTAGCGTGCGCTTTTGCCTTGTCCTCCTCCGACTTGGCTTTGGCATCCAGCGCCAGCGCCGACAATGCTCTGCCTTGTCGGATCAGTAGCTTCCAACGGATCGTCGGGTCCATGACGCTAGATGGAACAACCTCGCGACCCACAGCAAGGTCCATGGCGGCTTGACGGTCGCATACCAAGTCGCGAGATGCCGCACTAGACAAGAGTGCACCGCGACAGAATTCAAGCGCGTCGTCGAAGCTGGTGCGCGGGGGGGGGGGAGAAGAAAGAGTCAGCAGGGGTGATGTCGCCAGCGTCACCCCACGAACGCACCGATTGCAGGCTAGTGCGGCAGCAGCAGCGTTGCAGAGAGCCGTGGAGCGAACACTTCCAACGGCTGCCAATTCAGAATCACGCATCGCCTCTTGGAATCGCGCGTCTTGGAATGCGCGAGTACCGCTTTGTTTGAGCGCTTCTGCCAGGGCGTCGAGTAGGCCAGTCCCGCGAACGTGGTGGGCGATGGCCAGATCGGTGGATGGTGCAGGAGAGGAATGGAGTGCTGGACCGGATGGAATGAGGGGTGCGTTTGGCATGTTGAAGATGCACGATCGAAGCGTTTCTTGATCCACCGACTCGAGGAGGTGTATGAGGGGTGTGATGCAGGCGGCCATGTCCGCGCTCTCCAATCCCTTGACTGTGGCGAGCGTTGAGAGTGCACTGCAAGTGAGCATGCCAGTTGCGCGCTCTCGCGTGCCCACGCCCACGCCCACCACTCACACACTGCCTCTTGTAGCTTGCTGAGCATCTTCCCAATCTGAGCCTGCAAGGTATTCTTTTTGCTTCCCGGCTCGCTCTCCCACGCTGGGTCGCCCACGAGACTGCCATTTGCCTTTTCCTTGTCTACAAATCGTGCAAATGGCGCGTAATCTAGGGGATGCTGTAGCAGGTGATGCTTGATTTGGCTAGTGGTGACGAGAGGAGGAGGAGGAGGAGGAGGAGGAGGAG